ACAGGGGAAAGCTGGCATTACCAAATGCTTTTGTAAGTAAAGTTTTAATGAATTATAACCATGCTCATTGTCCAAGGTCCTTAACTGACCTTAGAATATCTTAGATCCCTTTGTCTCCTTAATCCTTTACTCCCGTCTTCCATTTGCTGAGGCTTAATCCCTAGATTTCTTGCCATTTGTTAACTAATTCTCTCTCTTTTAAGGCCTGTTTATTTTTAGTTTGGTCTTCACTGAATATAGTGCTTGGTAGGTCCATTAACGGTTTTGTATATTGGTAGACTTGAGGAAGCAGAAACTTTCTACATTTCCCCTCTTTTTCATCCACAGTTCCTATTTTTTAAAATCATTTTTTCCCCCTGAGGTCACAAAAATTAGATTCTTCTCATTTCTGTGGCTGACATCGCCCCTTATCTTCTCCCAGTGGCCTTTGCCTGTCATTCCCTGAGACTTTTGTTTTTCAATTATCTATTTTTTCCTTTTCCAATATTATCAACATTTTGGAACCCTTTTTCCAATCTTAAACAATACAGATCTAGGGAGCTCTGGTGGCCTAGTGGTAATAAGCTGTGCTGCAACCTCGAAGGAATGCAGTTTGAATCCATCAGCTGATGCTCCGTGCGAGAAAGATGGACAGTCTCCTTCCATGTGATTAACTGCTTCTGAAAACACAACAACACTGCATCAAAACAATACAGATCTCAGTTTTAAAAACAAAACAAAATCTTTCTATCCTCCTTTCTGATTTTCTCACTTGCTTTATTTACAGACATCTCTAAAGAGGTGTTATGTCTTTGACTTCTAGCTTGTTTAAAAGCACTGGTAAATTTCTAAATACGAAGACTATTCTCAGTTCTCATTTTCTTAATCTCCTGCAAACATGTACCAATTATGGTCAATCCTCTGTGACACATCCTATCTAAGTTTTCCCTAAAAACTCTGAAATCTCTTGACCCCTCTAATTTTTAATATGAAGTCTCTTGAGAAATTTTTTCTCAGTTTTTTTCTTTTTTAATTTTTAAATTTACTGTATTTTTGGTGTAGGGATACAGAACAAAACTGGTTCCCATTTGACAATTCCAACACATAATGTTACACTGGATACATTCTCCACATCATTCTTCACAGTGATGATATTGTTCTCATTCTTTCCATTCTAGTTGTTGTACTCCTATTTTTTTAAAAAAGATATTTTATATTGGTTTTATACAAAGTTTGTGTACATTGTATTTCACACTATCCCTCATTCACATTGTGTTTTATACAATCATTCCCATTCATTGTGATTTATAAAGTTAATCACCATTGAACCTTGCTCACCATTACTCTGTCTTTCCAGATCCCCTCTGGATCTTCACCCCACTCTCTACCCACCAAATTGTGTGACCGTATGATTTCCCCTGTGCCCATCCTTACACCTCTGTTCCCACCCCTTTCCTCTTTGGATCCCCATATGTATTTGACTAATTAAGCATCTATTTTTATAATAATGGTTATATGCAGTATTTGTCCTTATGAGACTGAGTTAGTTCACTCAGCATAATGCTCTCCAGTCTCTCCCAAGTTATGTAGTAATCTTTGAAATCATTACTCCTGAGTGCTACGTAGTATTTCATTATGTAAATGTACCGCAGTTTCTCAATCCATTCAATTGTGGTTGGACATGTGGAATATTTCCATGTTCTTTCAATTGTGAATAATGCTGCTAAGAACACTGGTGTACAAATCTCTGTTTGCATCTCAGTTCTAATTTCCTTGAGGTATATTCCTAGCAGTGAAATAGCTGGGTCATATGGAACAAACAGATCTGTCCTAGAGAGGATAAAACCAGGCTGTTCCTTAGAAACAAAGATTTTGAAGCTCTGCCTCACATACTTTGGGCACGTGGCCAGGAGGGACCAGTCTTTGGAGAAGGACATCATGCTTGAAGAGGTGGTGGGAAAAGGCAGGAGAGGAATACTACAGATGAGATGGATTGACTGGAGTAATGTGGGTAACTGGGGTAATGGGGGTAGGTGTGTCAGAGATAGGGAGACTGGCTTAGGATAGAGCAGAGTTCGGAGTACATAGGGTCACTATGAGTCACAAGTGACTGGACAGCACATAACAACAACATGGAATTTCTAATGCTCAGCTTTTTGAGGAAATGTCAAACTGCCTTCCAGAGTAGTTGTACTATTTTACAATCTCACCAATAGTGTTTCAGAGTTCTATCTCTTCACATCCTCTCTAGCATTTATTATTTGCTGTCCTGATAAACTTTGTCACTGTTTGTTGGGGTGAAATGTTATCTCATTGTGGTTTTGATTTGCATCTCTCTGATTGCCAATGATTTTGAGCATTTCTTCATGTGTCTGTTGGCTATTGGAATGTCTTTCTCTGTGAAAAGTCTTTCCTTTTCTCTTGCCTATTTTGTAATTGGATTATCAGTCTTTTTTTCTTGTGGAGAACCTATAGGAATCTAAACTTTTGTTATGAGACCCTTTTCTGAGGTGGTATTGCCAAATGTTTTTTTCCTAATCAGTAGGTTTTCTTTTTACCTTATTGGAAAAAGTTTTTGATGAACATAGAGATTTAATCTTTAGATGGTCCCATTCATCAATTTTATCCTCTCCTGACTGTGTATTATTATATCCTTGTTAACTCACTCCCATTGCCCCTAGTCTTCTCATCCATACTTTAGAGTAATTTGTCCATTTGGTTTCATATAGATAATTTATTTTTTAAGAGTACAGTGCCCAAGGGCAACAGTCTTTGCTTTTTGAGTGATCCAGTTATTTGTGACTTGGAGGGGGCGGGTAGTTTCAGTTCCAGATTTAGAATGTTATCTCAGGGTATTAATCTGGACATTCCTTCAATCTCAGTAGTTCTGGTAAATCTGGATTCTTTGAAGGTTTGTTCCACATTTTTCTCCTCTTTCTCAGGATCTATCCACAGTAACCCAGATCAGAACATTCAGTAGTGGTGGCAGTGATAACTGCCTGTCATTTAGATCTTCTGGTCTCCAGGGTAGAGGAGGTTATGACTCATGAAAACATTGGCCCTGCAGATAGTCTAATTCCTTCTCTGAATCTCGGGTTTTCTTCTTTATCTTCTGCTCCTTATGAATATTATTGTGTGAATCATCTCTTACATGATTATTCACAAATTTTTAAGATCCTACACACTACTCACCAAACTAGGTTGTAAAACTTTATGAGCTATGTTATGTTACTTGAGCACATTGTCCCACTGAGTACATTGTCCCACTAGGCTATCTAACCCTGTCTTCAAACCAAGAAAATTAGTAATTCCAATCCTTTGCCTTTTATATATTATCTCAACATTTTTATGAGTAAATATCGTGATCTAGGAATCAACCCCCCTCCCCTTTTTTTTTAAGTCTCTATTTCTGTTGTGGAGGTGAGTGGTACAAATGGTTAAGTGCTCAACAACTGTTAGGTTGTGAATTCAAACTACCCAGAGGTTTCCAAGAAGACAAACTTGGTGATATGTTTCTGCAAGATCACATCCTTAAAAATCCTACTTTTAGTAGATGGCACTCAGTTTCACCATAAGTTAAAATTAACTTTATGATTGTTGCTGTTTATTGTTATGTGCTGTTGAGTCACTTGTGACTCATAGTGACCCTATGTACAACAGCCTGAAACCTGTTGTATCCTGTGCCAACTTTGCTCTCTCCAACATACATACTCTCATTACCCCAGTCATTGTATTTCATGGATGGTCTCCCTCTCTTTCTCTGTCCCTCCTTGAAGCATATGTCAGATGAAGCTTCAGAATCCTTGCCTCCAAGGAGCAGCCTGGCTTCACCCTTTCTAAGTTGGACCTGTTTGATTTCCTGGCAGTCCATGGTATATTCAATACTCTTCTCCAGTACCACAGCTCAAAGACATCAGTTCTCCTATCGTCCCTAGTCACTGCCCAGCTCTTTGATGCATAGCAAGCAATTGCAAAGACTATGGTCTGGAACAGGCGCACCTTTGTCTCCAGACTGACATCATTGTTCTTCAGTCTTTTGGAGAAGTCCCCCTGACAGCAGCTTTTCTCAGTGCAATTTGTCTCTTGATTTCCTGGCTGCTGGTACCCAGAGTGTTGATTGTAGAGTCAAGCAAACTAAAACTGCGGACAATCTCAATCTCTTCACCATCCATAATGATACTGCCAATAGGCCCAGGGTTGAGAATATTTGTTTTCTTGATGGTGAGCTTCAATCCGTATTGAAGGGTGCCGTCCTTGATCTGCTGCAGCAAGTGCTTCAGGTCATCATCAGGTTCAGCAAGCGGGATTGTGTCATCTGCAGAATGCAAACTGTTGATGAGTCTTCCTCCAATCCTGATGCCACATTCCTCCTCACACAGCCCAGCCTCCTGTTCTGCATATAGTTTGAAAAAGTATGGAGACAGAATATATCTCTTGCATACACCCTTCCCAATTTTTAACCATGCAGTGTTTTCTAGCTCTGTTCTGACAACTGCCTCCTGATCCAAGTATAGGTTCACATAAGCACAATCAAGTGTTCTGGGATTCCCATTCTTTTCAGAGTCGGCCAGTTTGTTGTAATCCACAGAGACAAACACCTTTGCATAGTCAGTGAAACACAGATAGAATATATTTACAGCATAAAAGTTACATAAAAATAATTGTGCTTATTAATAAAGCATCCAACAACTGTTTGCCTTGAAACAATATGAAAACTTGGGAGCTGTGGCAGTTTCCTCGCCTGGTGTAGGGCTGTCCTGCCATGCAGCAGGGAGCCATCCTTCATTGATTAGGTGGGAATATGCTCAGACTCCCAGATAACTCTTTCGGTTGTACTCTGAAATCACCAGCAAGAATATCAATCTTTCATGTCCTGATTACTGATTACTTTACGTTATAAAGTTTTGTGTGTTTTTTCTCAGTATATGAAAGAACTAATTATTCTTTAAAGTTGTCATCTAGTGAGTATTTCACCATGTGTCATCAAATTTAACTTTTCTTTTACTTCCCTCTTTTTAAAGGGCTTAAGGGAGCCAGCTCCTTTTTCTGATGAAATTGACCTTGAGTGTAGTAAGCCCTATGTCCGAGTAACCATGGAAGAGGCCTGCAGAGGAACGCCTTGTAAGTACATGGCCTTTTACTGTTACTTTTAGCTTTGATTTCTTTATTTACCAAACATATTCCATATTCTTCCCTCATTTTGCCAAAGTTGGGGAAGTATACTCATTCATTCTGCCTTGCTGTTTAGCAACATTTTTTTCTTTTCTTTTTATTGTCACAGGCTTACTCCCTGAGCTATTGTAATAGCCTTGTGATAGGGAGAGCAGAGACAGTAAGCTGATCTTGGTTATAATGTTGTCCATTTTTTAAGGGTTTGGTTTTTTTTTTTATTAATTTTAATGAAAGTTTACAGAGACTTAAGGTTTCCAGTCATTCATTGTTGCACTTTACTCCCTGTCCACCTGCGCCCCCCCCCCCCCATTCGCTCTTCTCTTTGAAAAGAAAAATTCTTTGTTATACAATCCTTACCCCCAAGTCTGTTCCACTGTGTAGCCTTCTTTCTGGACTCCTGTCATGACTATAATACCAAATCACATATCCCTTTTAAACGGTTCTGTCCCTCCATCTGTTTTAATGCAGTATACATTATTTATCCCCTCTTTCTCAGTCTTCCCTCAACCCTGTTGTCAGTCTTGTTTTACAACAAATGACCCTATGCAATATTTGGCCTTTTACGACTGAGATATTTCACTAAGCGTAATGTCCTTCAGGATCACCCATTTTGTATAATATTTCATCTGTTCCTTGTTTTTCAATGCAGCATAGTGTTCCATTGTGTGAATATACCAGAGCTCCTCTATCCATTCGTTTGTTGATGAGCTCTTGAATTGTTTCCAACTCTTTGCTATTGCAAACAAAGCCTCAGTAAACATGGATGTGCGTATATCTGCTTGGGTGGCAGTTCTGGTTTCTTTAGGGTATATTTCCAGTAGTGGAAATGCTGGGTCAAATGATATTTCTATTTACAACTTTTTGAGATAGCACCATATGGTCTTCCATAGTGGTTGCACCATTTTATACTCCCACCAACAGTGAATAAGGGTTCCAGTTTCTCCACAGCCTCGCCAGCATTTGATGTTTGCTATTCTGTTAAATTTTTATTTTCTTACTGGGGTGAAATGACAGTTGTTTTGATTTACATCTCTCTTAGAGCTAGGGATTTTGAACATTTCTTCATACATTTGTTTGCCATCTGAATGTCTTCTTTGGTGAAGTGTCTATTCATATCCTGAGCCCATTTTTTAATTGGATTATTTACCTTTATCATGTGGTGCTCGAGTATTTTATAAATTCTAGATATAAGTCCCTTGTCAGACATGTATTACCAAATACATTTTCCCAGTCTGTGGCTTCCCTTTTTACCCTGTTGGAGAAGTTTTTGGATTTGCATAGTGTTATTTTATTTAAGACTCACTTTGTTATTTATAAAGCCCACTCTTACTTGTATGCTTGCTTTATATCATTAATTAGCAATCTTTAACTATATAAATTGTTAGTATATATTTTATTCTAGATACCTCCCTATCTTGGGAAATGGATTTTAGGCATCATTTTAATTTTTTTTTTTAATTATTTTGTTGTGTGTGTACCATCAAATCAGATCTGACTGGTACAGGAGGAGATTGCTCCTCCTTCTCCAGCAAAGCATCTGGTGGATTTGAACCATTCACCTCTGGGATTGCACTGTACCTTCTTGCCACTATTCCACCAGATCTCACCTAGGCATCATTTTAATTAGAAATTTCCATGAGTATTTGTTATGAGAACAGAATCCTGTGGGCATCTTTCTTAGTTCTCTAAAGTCTCCCCTTTTCCATTTAGTCCTTCTGATAACAATGTTAAGACTCTAGTCTTTAAATGTAGGATTGGATTTTTACTCAAGCAAGCACTAGGAAATAAGAGTTATAGCTACACATTAGCACACCTTCAGTGTACAGGGACTATTTGTAATTGCCTCTTGATTTTGTTAATATGTTTACTTTCTGTTTTAAATGAGGACTAGTGAAATGGTAATAAAAAGAATTGTTGAACAGTATGAGACTGGGGATTCCAACACTTCTTGCATTGTGGGTTGAGACACTCAAAAAGAAAAATTGCATCTAGAGAATGCTTTTCTTTACAAAAGAATTTAGAATAGGTTGTGTTGATCACAGTCCTGTTTAAGATGTGTTTTTGGGTTTGACTCTCCCCAGCTGGCTCATTTAGGGCAAGCAAAAGTGATGACAAGGATAGATCTGGAAACTCCAGGTAGAAGGGTATGCTGGTATCAGGTCAAATTTCAAAATGCCAACTGGCAGTTCAAGGGTCATGTTCAAACATGTGATCTAAAGCCTTTTGCTTACTCTCTAATGACACACATTTAGAGTTTAGTCCCTCACGGAAGTATAATCACATTAGTTACATCACCCAGCTTGTTGCTAATCTAGCCTCCCCCTTTGTGGTACTTGAGGAGTGCTAGTGGCATCATCTGTAGAGAGTTACACGGCTAACCCAGAGGCAGTGACTCTCTGCAGGTTTGAATCCCTCAGTGACTCTGTGAAAGAAAGATGGACAGTCTCCTCCTGTGTGATTTACAGCCTCTGGAAAACCCACTTCCATCCAACTCAGGAATAATGAGTTGGGTTTATAGTTGAAAATACGTGTACTATTTCCAAGTCCTGAAGCTTAGTGCTAGTCAATAGATCTAAAAAGAATTTCATTTTAGATAATAGAATTTTACAGGTTTATGTGACCTTTGTGATTATCTACTTTATTGTGGTTATATGTTGTCAAATCAGAACCAACTCATAGCTGAGCCTTCCGTGGGTTTCCAGAGTAAATGGCACAGGAGAACACTCACCATTTATCTCCCTTGATGCAGTTAGTGAATTCGAGCCACTTGTCTTTGAATTGGCAGTCACTAAGCCATCAGAGCTTCCTCTCTACTTTATAGTCTTGTCATTATATACACGGGAAGTTAAGGCCCATAGAAACTGACAAGTGAAGGCACCCACATAGTAATACAGATAATTGGTGGCACAGTTGGAGCTCTAACCTGGGTCTTTCCAGCCTTGGTCTTTTTTCATAATAGATTGGTACTATGCTTTAGAATGAATTCATTATAACCAAAAAGCCACCCTCATGGCAAGGCCATGATTTCATTTCTGGTAGAACAGGGTCCTAAAGAAGTCTCTAAAGTTTGCTGGTCAACTTAATCTCTGGTTAATCCTCTAAATCTCATTCTTTGTATTCTATGTTAAATGTTTAAATAAATGACTACATTCACAAGACAAGGGCATAAGCTAATAAAGAATCTATGTCTTTCACAGTGAATTGTAAACCACTCACTAATAGGAGTCTCTGGGTACACAGGTTGGGAAGCACTTGACTACTGGTCAGAAGTTTGGTAGTTTAAAACCACTCAAGGATGTCTCAGAAGACAGTCCTGTAACAGTCTGCATCTAGACGATGAGCGCCTTGAGTGCACACTCCTACTGTGCACACATGGGTCCCCACAGTCAGAATCCACATGGTGGCTGCTAACAATAACATGGAGCACGAGGGGCCCACCCTTCACGCCTTCATTAGAGAGATAAGGGAGTTAAAGAAGGAAGTTTGGATGTCTAGGAGAAAACTCGGCCCAGACACAAGCATGACTTGAGATATGAGAGAAACTTTTGCAAAATTGGGGGAAAGGGTGATAAGGTGGATGGGGAAAAGCAGCATGTTTTATTAGAGAAAGGAAGAAAAAAAAAGGAAGCTAAAGGACAATGAAATTCTTTTAGGGAAACAATATTTCATTGCTAGATATCTGTGTAAATACACCAAAAACTAGTGCACTGAATCTCAAATCCTTTTGTTCTGTCTAAAGACATTTGACTACCTAGCCACCCAGAACGCTCATTAGAAGTGGGATGATGAAACTTCTCACGTATTTTGGACATGTTGTAAGGAGGGGGCAGTCTCTGGAGGAGAACATCATGCTTGGTCAAGTTAGAAGGTCAGCAGAAAAAAAAGAAAAGGAGGACCCTCAATGCAACAGGCTGATCCATGGGAACAGTTTTAAGGACAGTGTAGAACAAGGCAGTGTTTCACAGACTTGCACACGGGGTCACCTGTGAGTTGGAACCGACTTTGCAACACCTAATAACCACCACAGAATGATCCTATAATTTTTTTATCATCTTAATTAGGATGATTTGAGATTGAAAAGGGATCACTAATAATGATACTGTGAGCCAGCAGTGCTAAATCAGGGGATGTGCCTTTGCTGGCCAGTGACCACTTTGGAAAAGGTGACTTACTCCTGCTTTCTCTGCCAGTTTCTCCTTCTGGCTATTTGACTTAGGATCAAGTGACAGGGAATTGATTGATATATTGGATTGAAGGGAGGAGGCGGCTGAGGAAACACTGAAGAGAGACATCTGGGGTTGGTCAGAAGAGTTCAGTGACACATTTGGCCTAACAGAACTGGCCAACAGTTACTCAGTCAGCCCCATTCTGTGCTGTTGCCAGCAACCTGGAAATGTATCCACTGAGTTTTCTTCACTTTACTTTGTCCTTGTTACATACTATCTATTAGCAAGAAAACAACAACTAGTCCTAATTTTTATGTAACTAAAACAGTGGCCCCAAGTACATCAGAGATGATGATGATGGCACAGGTTAGGGCAGGATTCAGATCCCTTGTTCATAGGGTTGCTATGAGTTGTAGTCGACTCAATGACGCCTATCAGCGACATCCCTTGTACTTTAGGATCAAGTGAAGTGAGGTCATAGCCTCTCTCATCTTGTTAGGAAAAACGGAAGTATGTTGGTAACTTTCCGGTTATGATTTTTAGTCTGCATAAGAAGGATTACACTGCCCAGGTTTAGAGCAATGAAAATATCAGAAACTGAAGCTTAAAGCAGTTATGTTCATACCGATAAGGAGCTGGTGCACAGGTCTGGACTGAGGCCCTTTCTAACTCTTAAATCCATTATGCTATTTCTGTCTTCCTTTGTATTGCTGTATTTTATTTTTGAGGCTTTGATTTATTTGAATGGAAGTTCACAGAACAAATGAGTTTTCTGTTCAACAGTTCATAGATACTTTGTAGAGTCTGACTACATTCAAAACAATGTAACAACACTCTATTAACTTCCCCTTGCCTCTCATTTCCATTTCTCTTTTCTGTCCCTATATTTTACTTTAAATTCTATTTCCTGTGTTTGCAAATTAAATCAGTCCCATGATTGTACATCTAAAAAAATAAATAAGTGTGTAGAATGAAATGCTTTATTTTCTTTTTTGTCTCAAAGTCACCCAGCCTCTTGGAGGCAACCACTGTTACAATTTTTCAGGATCCAAGCAGATAGATTATATAGGCATCTGCCCTCATAACAGCTATTACATGTTGAATTTTATTCACCTTATAACTGATATTTAGGTTGTTTCCAAACTTTTGCTGTTATAAACAATGCTGCAGTAAATAATTTTTACTTATTTATAAATGTATCTGTGAGATGAATGTCTAGAACTAGAATTGCTTGGTCAAACAGTGTGAGCATTTGTCTTTTGGTAGATATTATATAATTGTCCTTAGGAATTGTACCATTTTAGATCTATCAGCAGTAACTCCTTGGTATAAAAACTATGTGTTTATGGGCAGGGTATCTGAAAAGAGTTAAGCCTTCCGAGAAGTAGTTTGTTCCACTCTGATTCGTTGTCCTGAAGACAGGAGGTCTTGGTCTGTAACATTTCCTTCCTAGGCTGATGTGATACTACATCTTATTTTAGACAGTGATAGTGAAATAGGAAGTGCTGTATGGGGCTCTGGTTGCTTAGTAGTAAGGAGTTATGCTGCCAACTCAAGGGCGTGCAGTTTGCATCTGCCAGTTTCTCCACGCGAGAAAGGGGAGAAGTCTCCTTCCATGCAGTTTACAGCCTCTGAAAACCTGCTGGAGTGGACCAGCTATGAGTTGATTCTGACTGCAGTGTAACGTGAAAGAACATAGTGAAATAGCTTTTCATTTACTCACAGAGTAGGAATAAGTTAGTAGGATTCTTAAAGTATATAATTTGCAATGTGATGATATGTTATGTGAGTTTTGGTCATAATAATGTTTATTTGACTTTGGAACTCGTCTTGTACACCAAAATATCATTTTCTGGTTTTTCTTTCGTAAGTCACTACCACCTAAGTAAGTTGACAGCCAGTTCTCTATTATTTTAATAAAACAGAGGTAAGGTAGAGCTACAATGAACAATTCCAAGATATTTATATTTAATTTCCAAACACTTAGTGTCTTACTTTTTGTTGTGAAAACTTAACATCATGCTCACTGTAAAAAAGGAAGAAATACTTAAAGGCATTTCACATATTGTCACAGAGCAAGTGTTGAAGGATGAAGGTGGAGCTGAGAAACAAATAAATTGGCAACTGCTCCCCTTAGCTTCTTACCCTCCTTCATTCTGAATCTTACCTTTCTATATCCTCCCTTAACCTGTGAAATAGTGGGGAAGTTTCTTTTCAAAGCATAATATTAGTCATTAGTAATCAAGGCAGCTTGAAAATGAGAATGCAAACGGCCAGAATCATAGTAGAAAACTGACACACAAATGGAAGATGAGTTTTTAAAGTTCAGTGCATCTCAGTTTGTTATTCTCCCATTGTCAGTTTTAAGTTACTGTTAATAAAAAAAAAATTTATGAAATCTGGGTACCTGAACAGTTTAGGATAATCTGACTAATCCAAGGAGTTAGTGACGATGGTCTTAGGAGAGTCTTTGTCCAAAAAGTCTGTTATCATATTGTTTACAACTACCGTCTGCTCCTGAATAAAGTTATTGCCCGGAGCATCTCAAGAGTGGTGTGTGTAGGGACAGAACATTCGCACAGGGCCATTTCCATTTGTCAGAGGTTGCATATTGAATAAACGTGTTTGTGTCATAAAACCTTTCTTTTGGCTTTAGATCACCGGCCTGTGAGAGTTTATGCAGATGGAATATTTGACTTATTTCACTCTGGTCATGCCCGAGCTCTGATGCAAGCGAAGAACCTTTTCCCAAATACATACCTCATTGTGGGAGGTAAGAAAATGCCTGGTGACTTTAGGTGCTGTCAGTCTAGAAAAGATGACAGGGGTTTCTCTCCTGTCTTTATAACCCAAGCATGTTGGCCTGCGGTTCTGTTTTAAAAGAAATGACACATACAGTGTGACTGCTCTTTGGTGTGATATGTATGAGAGGCCTGACTCTGGAGAGTCCAGGGTTTAGGCCTCATTGGCTCAAGACACCTGCTTGTTAGCTGAGTTCCCCTAGTCCTGGGAGCGCACATCTCCTGTCTCCAGTTCACAGCAGCATGTGCTCTGCATGTTGGTGTAGCATTTGGAATGATTTAACTGCTGCATAAATGCTTAGTAAGTTCATTTCAAAGTCAAAACCTTCGTGTCCTGTTGTACCTTTTCTTCTCTGGTATTTAGTGAGTGTTGCTCTTGAAAAGTATGTCTTGGATTAAGAAAAGCAGTGTTACCTGGGCTGAGCTACATCTAGGAGGTGCTTTTCCAGCTGGGAAGGATTGTTGCAGCTCTGGGAAGTGGGGCAAAGTAGGGGAGAACTTGGTGCTGGGAGGACTGTGACTCAGACCTTTATCATATGGTAACTGCAGTCTGCAGCGATGAGCTGACGCACAACTTCAAAGGCTTCACAGTGATGAATGAAAACGAGCGCTATGACTCGGTGCAGCACTGCCGATACGTGGATGAGGTGGTGAGGAACGCCCCCTGGACCCTGACACCTGAATTTCTGGCCGAACACCGGGTAAGAGATGGAGCACATGTCCTATTCCTTGTTCCGGAATCCCCTCAGTTCTCCAGGCTCCTGGCACTGGGAGTAGCTTTCCATTAGCTCAACTTCATGTCTACTTTCTACATAAGTTTCACATAGCAGAGATGACAGTGGTGTTTCTCCTAATAGTCATCTCTGACATTTATATGGGGTTGCTTAATGATTGGCAAGCTCTTTTAGATCTATTGCATTTCATTTTCCTCCTTTTACCCCAGAAACTCTCTTGAATAATTTTTCCCATGTCATAGATGAGGGGCAAAGCCCAGACAAACCAAGTAATGTGTGGGTCTTGGTCGACTTGACAGCACATGACAGGAAGTCTCGTCACAGGGAAGTCCTCTGGCCTGGTCTGTAGGGAGCTGTGCTGCTAACCCAAAGGCTGTGCCTCTCTGGTGGTTCAACTCCATCCGTGGCCCACACACAGACATTATATCTCTTTCTGCCCTCATCGTATTCCTATTCCAATCTCTTTAGCATACCCGTAGCCTCCCCTGCTTTCAGGAAGTTCACATTCCAGGAGATAAGACAGGTACTCATAGACCTTTCTTGTGTTGGATTAGAGCTTTTGTTTTGGGACAACAGGAGAGGGTTCAGAAATGAGGAATGCTTCTCACTCTTACTAATGAGATAGCACTATAAACCCCTCGCCTCCCTTTAATTTTCTATTGGAGTAACAGGTTTCTGAAAGGGGTAGGCATAAAAGATGAGGAGGATTCACCATTCTAGTTGGAGGGCTTTAGTCTTGAGGAACCAGCAAAGATTTCATTCGGGTCTCTGTAAGCACATGTAGAATATTGCAGGGGAATTGTTCAATGCAGTGGGAAAGACTAAAGACGGTCAAGGTGCTTTTTAAAGCAGTATTTAACATAGGCCTGAAGCTAGGGGATATCTTTGAAGCCTGTCCAGGTTTAGGACAGAGCTATTACCATTCTGGAGCCCTGGTGGCGCACGTTAACGGAAGGGTTAGTGATTTAAGCCTACTCAGTGACTGTGCAAGAGACAAACTTGGAGATTCCCTCCAGTCTGCTTCCTCAGTTCTCATTGACTCAGTGGTACCCACAGCAATGTTATTGTTCTCTAGCTTTTCTACATGAGCACTTAGTCTCCAGTGGCACCAAAGGTTATTTTCCACAACACAGCCTAGGCAGGCCCCTAGATGAGTATGATGTTGAAGAAACTTCTCGTTCTCCTTTTCTCTTTGTTGAAAGTCATGCTTGCCCCCATCCTTATTTTTACTTCTTATGAATCCCTAATAAGTGATTACAGGAACGTGAGATGTTAGCTGAGAGCCCGTGGTACAGTCTTGGTCAGCTTGCTGCCTAAAGCAGTGGCCTCTGGGAGTTGAATGTGGTAGTGTTGGCTGTGATAAGAAGCTTGGTGACCTAGTCCATGGAGTGTTGCACTCAAATTCACTAGCTGCGCCACAGAAGGAAGATGGGCAGTCTCCGTTAAGATGTATAGCCTTGGACACCGACTGCAAGGTCACTAGGAGTTGGAACTCGCTCGAAGGTAGTGAACTTGAGGTTTTGTTCTTTGGGTTTTTTAAAAATTCAGGAAGGAGTAAGTTAGGTGTAGCATCTCTCTCAGAATAATTACTGATTCCAGTGCCATATCGTCTCTTTGACCCTTGCAAGGCATATGGACAATAAATAGCAAATGATAGAGCCTGAGACCTAAATGTCTGTTACCGCTTTTGGGCTTTGTGTTTCTCAGGGATCCAGATGTATCTATTCCAGTAAAGGGGCTATTGGTTGTTCTGTTTATATTCCTACACAGCTTTTGATGGGCTGGAGGAGAAATCTCTTGAACAAGGAAGTGACCTTTTCCTCCTACTTTTAGAAATCCTTATGGAATCAATTTTTAGGGGTCTGGGAAGCCCAGTGGGGGAGGGTTAACCATGATCTGGTCCCAACTTGATGGCAGTGAGTTTTTTGCGTGTTGCAGGCCCACAAAGTGGGCGGGTGGGTTTCCTGCCTCTTTCCCTAGGCCCTGCTTTCTAACCAGCTCTCCTGCAAATCTCCTCACATAGCATGGTGACCAGTATACAGCAGGCAGGAAACATAGCCACTAGGCCAGGAGAAATATCGGAAAAGGAAACCAGCTGACTTCTTATTTATGATCCTTAGTAACCAGTTGGGTGGTTTGCAGATGAGTCACATCATTTACGAGTAAAGGGAAGTATAGAGAATGTGAAGAGTGTAGAGGCCCAACCTCTACTTACTGTCCCTCTTCGGGGCCTGGTACTATTCACTTGCGTTTTCTGAATAGCATTATCCTGGGTTTTACACACTGTTTCGTTATTTTCAGATTGATTTTGTAGCCCACGATGACATCCCATATTCTTCTGCTGGGAGTGATGATGTTTATAAGCACATCAAGGAAGCAGGTGAGTGAGTGGATGGGCACCCTCCTTTATGGGGCCTCATCTCCAGCTACAGAAGTTCTCCTGCGTCAGTACTGCACAGAGGAAAGATTGTAGCCGAGAAAGTCAATCGTCTATTTATCAGTATTTTCAGACATCGCTTCTGGTTTTTGAGGAAAGAAATGTTTCCAGTTTCCCTGTAGGCCTCCCGCCTGAGCTAACCAGCTTTCACAATGGCTGTCTTTGTGTGTATATTCTTGTATTAGGCATGTTTGCACCAACACAGAGGACAGACGGTATCTCCACGTCAGATATCATCACTCGAATTGTCCGGGACTATGATGTGTACGCTAGACGGAACCTGCAGAGGGGCTACACAGCCAAGGAGCTCAACGTCAGCTTTATCAACGTGAGTCCAGCCCGCTGTTCAGAGGGCCTTGGCCCTGGAGGATGCAGCTTCCTGCCCACGGTCACTCCCCAAAACTTAATAAATGCCTTCTTGCAGGGGATACGGAGCTAAGCTCTACACAAAGAAAATAAACTAAAGGCAATTTCTGTCCTTACAGTTTTATGTCAACATGGTCAAGAAATAAGAATGTGTGACTTTCTTGTTGTTGTTATTGTTATGTACTGTTGGAATTGACCCATAGCTGACCCTCCAGCAAGTTTTGAGAGGTCATTCAATTGCATGGGAGGAGATTGTCCATTGTTCTCAGTGCCACATTAATATAAAACATTTAAAACAGTAGTCCTTAACTGTTTGTAGTAATTTTCATTAAAATCTGATGAAAGCTATGAACCTTCCCCCAGAGTGTATAGTTTTGCACAACAAGTTAATATAATCTTTTAGAAAGAAATTGTAATACATTTTATAAATAAATAAAATATATTATGCTCTGGTAGCCTAGTGGCAAGAAGTTGTGCTGCAATCCCAAAGGCACACAGTTCAAGGTCACCAGCTGCTCCATGGAAGAAGGATGGGCAGTCTCTTCCTGTATGATTAACTGCCTCAGAAAACCCACTGGAGGGTCAGTTCTGGGTAGGTTCCAACTCAACAGTAAACAACAACAACATACCTCAATGAAGTTGATTTTTAAAAATATGTTGCTGATTCTGTCTTTTATATAAGTAGTTTACCGTGCTCCCTCAACTGACCCCAGATCTGGGAATGACACTAAAATAAATGAAAAGATTTCTCTACCAAAAAAATTTACCTGCTGTTATCTCCTACTGTAAAATTTTTCTTATTATCCCTAAAACTCAGATATTTAAAAGCCTTAAACTTATTCTTTTTCTGTTTGTCACCTGGAAATTATGAAATTACTATTGATTTGACTAAAATTTGCTTCCCAGAATGTTCATATCATATTCCCTTGTCTCTAGGACAAAGAGTATCATCTTAAGTTTGAGAATTAACAGATGGACCTCCAGAATACCAGAACAAGCAAGAAAACCCACCAACCAAAAAACTCCCAACTTCTAAAATCCTAGACTAGACTAATGATAAAGGAGAAAAAATATATAGGATAAAAAGTGAACTTAAAAATCCAGTCCTTCCACTCTCAACCTACTGTCGCCGCTGCCTTCTTGGCAGTGTTGTGCTGTGAGCTCATTGCTCCATGCAGGCGGCTCCATCTGGAGTGGAGTTCAGGGCATGCTGGGCTTAGGCTCCAAACTTGTGCTTTGTCTTAAGAAAATTACTTCATTTGGCTGCATGCCTGTTAACTAGGCCTACTCTACATACCCAGTTTAATCCATGCTTCTACAATAATAATTTGTCTCATATTTTTCTAGAACATGATCCTTCAAAGCTTATGTCTATTAGTAGGCTGAGGAAGTGTAAATAAAACAAGAGATTCTAAAGACCAGAACAGTGTGTGCTTGAACCATGTTTTTCTATCATTTTTGGTAGGAAAATGAGGGTAAGTATTATTTCTCAAAACAGTGATTTTCTTTGTCCAGGAAAAGAAATACCACTTGCAGGAGCGGGTTGACAAAGTAAAGAAGAAAGTGAAAGATGTAGAGGAAAAGTCAAAAGAATTTGTTCAGAAGGTGGAGGAAAAGAGCATCGACCTCATTCAGAAATGGGAAGAGAAGTCGCGAGAATTCATTGGCAGTTTCCTGGAAATGTTTGGCCCAGAAGGAGCGCTGGTATGTTCTTCCCTAAAGAATTTGGGGCATTTCCACGTGGAAATTCTAGAGAGTCAGAATTCCCAAGCCGAAAGGGGCATTGATCTCACGAGGTTAACTGTTCTTTGGGTTCCTCATATCTGGGCAGAGCTGTTTTTCCACTACCCCCTATACCCCCAATGCTTTATGATCTTTTCAGAAAGAGGCTATATCCTCTTAAATAGTGTTTCTAGCCTTTTAGCAGTCTCCAAATCTGCTGACAGGATAAGCAAGTAGCCTTACTCCATTGCTTATCCACCACAGCTTTAGATATGAGGGAAGGAATGAATAAAGGATAGTACAAAGCATGTTGCCTCCATTATACACTGTGTGTCTGTAGGATCCCTGGGCCAGGTGGGAATTCTGTCCTTGAGCAGGAAGCTAATGTAAACCAAATAAAGGGGAGAGAGAGAGTGTGTGTGTGTGTGTGTGTGTGTGTGTGTGTGTGTGTGTGTTGTAGTTTTTCAGCAAATGAATCCTAAGCCAGGTTTTAGGAAGGATCTGACTGTGAAGGTGGTTCCGTACTCTCCATGCTAGAGTTGAGTTTTCAAGCAGGGCACAAAATTTCCTTCTTAGAGAACTTCAACCGGGCTGGGTCCCCTTTTGTCTGAGGTAATTCCTTTGTTTTTGCCTGGAACCCAGACTGCAGACAAAGTAGCTTTCTAAGAATTCTTCAAATAAAATTTGGTGACTGTGGCTGGCAAGTAATGCAATGCTTTTACTGCTGGAACCAACTCATTGTTGCATCTCCATGGGGTTTTCGAGGCTTAAATGCACAGGAGGGAATTGCCCATCTTTTCCCTGATGATCCTCTGGTAGATTTGAGCCACCAAAAAGGCCTTCGGGTTAGCATTGCAACTCCCTATGGATTACGCCGCCAGGGCTGGAGCCCTTAAATAGATAATGTAGTGAAGACTCTTGGAGGAGGAAATTGCTTAGAACTGTATCCTTGACCCTTCTCTGGAGTAGATGGCCCTGCTTCCATCAGTGACAGGGTAACAGGAGAAGATGTGTCAGAGACAGTGAGATTGGCCCAGGATAGAGCGGTGTTTAGGGCTATTGTGCACAGGGTCGCTAGGAATCGCAGGTGACTCAACAGCACATGACAACAACAGCAACAGCATTGCAGGGCCATTTGTACCCATTCCAGTCTCAGGAAGCGTCCTTCTGACTCCTTTTTTCGGTTTCCTCAGAAACATATGCTGAAAGAGGGGAAAGGCCGGATGCTGCAAGCCATCAGTCCAAAGCAGAGCCCCAGCAGCAGCCCGACGCATGAACGCTCCCCCTCGCCCACTTTCAGATGGCCCTTCTCCGGCAAGACTTCCCCACCTTCCTCTCCAGCAAACCTCTCCAAGCACAGGGCTGCTGCCTGTGACATCAGTGAGGATGAAGAGGACTAGCCTTCCATCCCTTCTCCCCTCCCTTCTCCCTCTGTCTTGTCACCTTCAGAAGCTTGCTGTTGAATTCCAAATTGTGATCCCAACACTAAACTCAAGGATAGCTACAGAGGAAAGCAGATGGGGGATGGGGAAACCAACAGCCTTTGCTCTGCCCACACCCCAAGGAGGCTTACTGCACCTTGGAGGACTGCTCTGCACCATCCACCCACCTCAAAGGACAGCTCTGCTGTTTGTGTTCATGTGATCTTGACAGGGAAATTCCCATTTTTATTAATTTTTTTTAAAAATTTAGTCTTGCAAAATGTAAGTAGAACTAATGTTTTGCCCCTGAGGAGGAGGCAGAAGAAGCAAGTGGTGGGACAACCCAGAGGCCTTTTCTTCCCAACACTACAGTGTTTTGCCTTCTGTTCTGAAGCAAACCGACTTGCCAAGTCCTTCAAGCAAGGACCCATGCTGACGGGTGGTCAAGGGCGAGTACGGCACGATTTTGATTTCCTTGAAAACTTAAGAGCTGAGAGATTGCAGTAAAAAACAAACAAAACAATCTTCCAGCATGCTGTTGGCACACATGTCAGTGTGGGAAGAAGGGGTCTGAGCCTAATGTTTCTACTCCCTGAGGAGTTTCTTGTTGGACCCAATGGGGCCCATGAAGACACTGATGGGGATAGGATGACCACATGGTATCAACTGTGGTTTTCCTGCTATGTTCATCTTCTCAGAAAACTCTGTTGCCTAGTTACTTGGGAGTCCTTGTCCATCTTTCCCAGCACTTTTAGGGTAACTGTTAATTGGGGAAGGGAGTGGGGCCATACTTAATCCTATAGCAAGTTCGTTGAGATGCATTTCCTGCTGGGATTAAGTCCCTGGCCTCCCTATTACCATTTCAATGCTATCACCAAGCTGTCTATAGAGGAGACTTTGTAAGTGTCTGCAGTTCAAACATAGTCTGCTAATTTATTTCACTCATACCCAGAGAGGTTTGCACATAACATGGAGGCACAAGTTTAAGGAAACAAGCACTTCCTTTTGTAAAGCAACGGCCTTATCTGAACCTCTCCCCCTTTTAAAGACGTTCTTGACCCAAACCAGTGCTCCGCTGGGTTTCTTTTCTTTTGCAGAGAGAGCAGGGCCTTCCTGCACTGCCCGGCCAGCAGGCCACAGAGCAGGGGTTCACATTGCGGAGGTCTGGTTGGTTCCCTCACAGTTTGCTCCAGTGTGTGCCTCATGGCTGGGCCCTACCTCCTCTGTGAGGTTGCTCAGGAAGACTGAGTACTTGCATTTTGCCACGGAGAATGTATAACACTGCTTTTGGGCACAAGCTTGTCTTGAACACTCACAGTATCCTATCTCCTCAGCTGCCTGACCTTGCAATCCAGTAGTTGGGTGCAGGAAAAATTTACTTGTGTCCAGGCCCCACACCCCCTATCACTCATAAATACCCCTTGTGGGGGTGGAGTTTCAGTGTTTTCAGCTAAGAAAACCACATTTAATCTTTTCTTGCCACATAAGTCTCCTCCCTGTGCACACCTTCTGGTAAAAATCTGCTCTCCTGCCTGAGGGCCAGAGGCTGGATCATGGCCTGTCCACACAGCAGAAGTGCCTGGGTTCCCAAAGCCCTGACACCCAGAGAGGTAGAGCATAATTCTGGACAGGAGCAGAGCACAGAAATCTCTTGTCCCAGTGGTCTCTCAAAATCACATTTCTCGCTCTTCCATGAAGTGCTTTTTTACCATCAAACCTGGATCACCTGTGCTTTGGCTTGATGGCCTGTCCTTGAAGCAATTTGTGTTTCCCCACATTACCCAGTTTCTTGGGAATCATGTCCCTTCCCTTTTCTGCTTTGGGCTTTCCTCCTTGAGAATTCTGCCTCTCTGATGTAGACAGGCAGTGAAGTCCTGTGGAAGCCCACCCACTTCCGACCTCCCAGTGTTCGTTGCCCAAGTATTTAAAAAGGCCGTGTGCTGTCCCTCCCTTCATCTGCGTCTCTACTGCTGGAAGGTGACGTGTGTGTGGGCACTGCTCTCAGAGGAGTGCCCCGCCCTCCTGGCAAACCTCTGCTGCCTCAACTTCCTAACACGAGCATATTTTCAAATAATGTTGACCAAAGGCAAAAACCTGATGGTGTGGCACGTTAGATTCCTTGGAAGAAATGTGATCGTAGGTGCTGGAGAAGGGTGGGCAGGGAGAGGAAGCTGTTGGGATCATGCACTATTTAATCGTGTGTACCAAAATTAAATGAGGTTAGAGTTTGCACACTGCCTGTGACCTGTAAACTTTCAGCTGTCAGTGAGGTTGTGGAGCAAGTTCTCTGAGTCACACGTGTGACAGCGCTCAGCCCAAGTGGGCCGATTATGGTAGAGAGGGAAGAGCCTTGAGCAGTGGGGCCCAGAGCCTCTGTCTACAAAGAGAGAGGCTGGAGACAGAAGACCTGGAGCTGGAGGTGAGGCAGTGAGTGTTTAAAGCGGTTTCCTCCTGGCAGGCTGGGCAGAAAGGTTTTCCTGCACTAGATTTAGGAACCCTGAAGAATACCAGGCATAACTTTCGAGGACTAGAAACTTGCATTGCTGCAGCGGCCTCTAACCGCTAGCGCCAAAGACCATCGTTCTGGGAGGATTGGGTAAGGAGGTTGAGGATAAGAGGAGCCTGGAAATGCTGAAAAGGAAGAAAGATAGAAGGTAGGTGGGAAACCACCTTTGCTCTTTTCTGATCATCAATGGCTTCCTAGGCAGCAGCGCCGGGTCCTGCTGTCCTGTGACACCCCCACCCACGGTTGCTCACAAAGCCTGTGTTTTCTGCTGTGTTTTAACCTGGAAGTAACTGCTTTTTTGGAGCTTACAGCTTTTTAAATCCTGTTCCAGGTCCCTTATCTAAAATCTGTTCCAAATCAACTCTATTTTTCTGCTTTCCTTTAATTCCCCCAGAGTCCTAACTTCTAAATGTTCTGTCAGTATACATGGCCACCAGGAGCTGAACCAATAGATAGAAATAATTTCCTTTAACAATATTTTTTAACTAATGGTGTTTTTTTTAAAAAAAAAAAGCTTACCAATATAAGTATTTTTAAAGGTTCTATTTTTCCAAGTCATAACAATGATAGTTCTTATTTCCTCTCATAGAGTTGATTGTCATGGGATGAAGACTGGTTCCCTAACATCTATTTTTCCAAATAAATAAGTAGAACATGTTCTTGGGATTATACTATTAAATGTTAATTGTCTTAAAAGTTATAGAGAGAATTTCTGTCTGCCAAAGTCTTATGTCAGTACCCATATTGGGATAGAAAACAAAAATGCCAGATTTAACATTAAAAGCTAAACTAGAAAGACTCAGGTGTGTTCTTTTGAGGTGGGCCTTCCTTCCATTCTCCATGGAAGGGCGCGGACTGTGTTGATCATGAGTAATTGATTTGTTGAGGATCCAGGAAAGAGAAATGCTGGCCTTGGCACGCTAACCTTATCAGCAAAGCCAGAGTCCACAGCAGTTTTCCTTAATTAGTATATTGTTTTTCTGTCTGAGTTTAATTTATTCAGAGTTCTTTTGGCTGTTCTCACTTCAAATAAATGATGATATTCCATTTCTTATGGTCTGACCGGGCATATCTGTGAATGATTTTTTTTTTTTTAATTTTTTTTTTATTCAGGGCTTTTACCTTTGTTCTCAATTCCTTTGCTTCTGTGTCCTAATTTCAAATCACGCTCCATCAACAATTCCTTTTGCAGCTGCAACTGGAATAAATGTTGACCTGCTAACTGCAAAGTTGGTGGTTCAAATCCACCAGCCAATCCTTGAGATAAAGACTTAGCAGTCTGCCTCCAGGAAGACTAACAGCCTTTGAAGCCCTCGGGGGCAGGTCTGCTCTGTCCTGTAGGGATCACCTGAGTCAGAATCAGCTTGGTGATGACGGGGTTGCTGACAAAGGGAGACTGATACAGAGTGCACAGGCTTACTGTGATCCACTTACAAAAGAGCAAAGACACCTTCCATCTGTTCTCCGGATGTCTGATGCTTTCAGGACTTGGGGCCGTACTGTTTTGCCTGTCAGAGTTCTGTTGCTATTGTTGTACCATACAGGTACCATATTGTCTTCTTCCTCGGGGTTGCTGTAGGAAATCTCACTGTGCCCTTACTCTGTGTAGGCTCTAAGGGATAACAGTGACACCCGCTGAGGCAGTATCCCCAGACACAGATTTTTCAGGCAGCGCCCTGTTTGTTTATTACAAAATTTAAAAATCTCTTTTCCAGGCAAACTCCAACCCCATTTTATCCCGATGCGTGTTCGTCTTTATAGTCGGTTGCAGTCTCCGGACAATGTGAGCTAAGGAGTAGGGGGTCTCTCCCATTGTCCATGCCAGCTGCCTCAGGCTTCAGGGTTCAGGTCCAGTTTGGGAGAAGAGAAAGGTTCATAGCCGACCTTGTCGTCCTTCCTCCTGTAGTACATGCGCGTCAGCACGGTTATTAGAAAGCTCTCCAGGATGAGGAGGTGACAGTTCATTACTGCAGCATGGAGGGAACACAGTATTTCACAATGCATTAAGCTGAGATAACACAAGTATGGTCCCAGCCGCAGCCCCACCAAAGGAGTTGAACAGTCCCTTCCCGAGGTGATCTCCAGACCAGTGCACAGAGAGCAAGAAATTAACTAGTGGCAGAGTTAAAACTAAAACTTGCCTCCTGAGATCTGAATCCATTTCCTACTGTATTTTTTAGCTTGGACTTTCACTTCCACACTACACTCATTCCTCTCCCAGCAGCTGAGGTTTGCACTCACGGCTCCCTTGACCACCAGGACTGCTGACAAGCTGTGGGGCTGCGGCTCTCCCCTGTGAGACCAGGGAGCATGGCCATGGGATCCAAAAAGTCTCTGCTGATACTTCTTAGGGATCCCCTTTGTGAATACAGAGGTCAGATCTCAGATCCCGCCCAGCTCATGGGAATGGTTGGGGGGAGGGCTGTCCTGTGTGCTCACCTTGAGACCTGATTTTAGAGGAAAAGGGAGGCGAACAAGCAATCTGTCCAGTGCTGGCCAAGACTGAGAAAATGGAGGGCTGCAGGGCAGTCAGGATAAGGAGGGCCTGTAGGAAAAGAGGAGCCGGCTGGGGGAGTCTCCGCATGACTGCCGCAGTTGTGGGCTTGAGACACTCACTTGATGAAAACATCATTGTCGAATTACAGCCCCACCTTTGACTCAGAGCTGCTCATGAGGCAAGAACTGATTGACGGTTCATGCTTATTCACCCATTTGAGCCAGGGCTACTATCAAGCACTTAAATGACTGACAAACATGGGTGATGGGAGAAGAGCAAATTCACTTAGCTCAGATCCCTGTGATCCCTGTTCATAGACTAATGGGCACCTAGTGGCAAGAAGCTGTACCATAATCCCGAAGGCACATGATTCTAATCCACCAGCTGCTCTACAGGAGAAAGATAGGCAATCTCCCCCCATGTGGTTAACTGCCTCTGAAAACCCACTGGAGGGCCTGCTATGGGTTGGCTCCAACTCATGGTACACCACACCAGCGCCACCACCACCATTAAAGTGCTTTTCGAAAATCTCTGCACAGAGGCTCAGGAGTGTCATTTATTCTCCCTCCCTCTGCTGAAGTCTCAGCCTTCTCTTGGTCGACCCTGCCTATCCCAGGTTCCCCACAACCATCACAGTGATTGTATTCATCACACTCAGCAGTCAGATGGCTTTGACTCTTTTGGACCTAGCATAAGTGTTTCGAGGGCTTCGGGTCCATCTGTCGCTTTATTCCCTCACTCTGCCCTGATAACTTCCTTTGTCCTGAGTCCCTGCAATTCCCCCTGCTGTGTGCCTGGGCATTCACATTCCAAGGCATCTGCTTAGATCAGCAAAAATACGTATGAAGTCATTTGTAACTAGAAAGCAGTGATTAGAGGGTAATAGAATGGCCAGCAAGGAGACAGGAAGAATGGACAGAGAAGGAAAACAAGATTAATTTAGAAATCATTGCAACTGTGGACTGGTTAGCTTGGGGCTTAAAGTATAGAAGATATAGAAAGTTGAGGAGAGGGGAGAAACACTTTTAAAAGAACTTCCATAAGACAGAACTGACCTTGGGACAACTACCCCATGGAACAAGAACTAGAAACCTACACCAAGTTTGTTGGAGGTTCGGGGAGCAGGGAGGACATGACATTATTGGCAGGACTGAGAGCTTTGTAAAGCTGTGAGGCTGAAGGCTGAGGTGTCTGTGAGCACATTTAGGAAGCTGTCCTGACAGCCACTGTATCCTGATGCCGACCTGAATTATAGCCTTTTGACTTCCCTGATAAACACTGTTATGCACAGAAATCAGACTGATTACATCTGTGGAAAGAATTGTTGGAAAAGCTCAATGCCTGCTGTGAAAACTAGACTAGGTGCTGATTGTGAACAGATCATCAGCTACTCCTATGCAAGTTCAAACTGAAGCTAAAGAAAACTAAAGCAGACCTACAAGAACTAAAATTTGACTTTGAGTCTATCCCGCCTGGATTTTAAAACTATTTCAAGAACAGGTTTGAGGCCTTGAACACTAATGAGTGAAGTCCAAATGAGCTGTAGGAGGATATCAAGACTATTCTCCATGAAGAATGCAGAAAGTCATTACAAAGAGGTGGAAGAAGAGACCAAGATGGATAGACATCAGAAGAGACTGACTATTGCACTAGAGTGCCAAGAAGTCAGCAGAGGGAAGAAATTAGGAAGTCAAGGAACTGAATGGATGATTTCAAAGGGCAGTGAGAGAAGACAAAGCAAGATATAATGAAATGTGCAAACAGCTGGAGTCAGAAAATCAAAGGGGATAAACTCACTTGGTTTTGGTTTTTTGTTGGGGTTGTGTGTGTGTGTGGTTTTGTTTTTTTGTTTTTTGGTGGGTTGTGTGTGTGTGTGTGTGTGTGTACACCATCTGATCGAATCTGACTGGTACAGGAGACTTCCCCTCCTCCAGCGGAGCACCTGGTAGATTCAAACCACATGCCTTGGGGATTGCAGCACAGCTTCTTGCCACTAGGCCACCAGAGCTCCACTTGCCATTTCTTAACTGAAGAAACTGAAGAACAAATTCAGACCACGAGTTGCAGTACTTAAGGATGTTGTGGGCAGAATATTGAATGATCTAGGAAGCATCAAAAGATGATGGAAAGAGTGCACTGAGTCATGTACCAAAAAGAATTTGCTGACACAGAAGAAGTTTATGAAACGATGTTTGATCAAGAGCCTATAGTGATGAAGTTCAAGCTACTATGAAGGAATTGGCAAGAAACAAGGTCCCAGGAATTGATGGAATGAATAGAAGTTGACATTTCAACAAAGAGATACTGCCCTGGATGTGTTTCACAGGTTGTGCCAAGAAAGAGGACAACTAGCTGGCCAACTGAGGTCTATATATATTCCCGTTTCAAAGATAGGTGATCCAACAGAGTGTGGAAATTATTGCACACTATCACACACAAGCAAAATCCAAAAACAACTGGAACAGTACATTGACAGAGAACTACCAGAAATACAGACTGGGCTTAGAAGAAGCCATGGCACTAGAGACAATGCCAATGTCAGGTGGACCTTGGTTGAAAGCAGAGAGTACCAGAAGAACGTTTATCTGTGTTTCATTGACTATGCAAAGGCATTTGACTGTGTGGATCACAACAAATTGTGGCTAACTTTGAAGAGAAATGGGGATCCCATAACACTTGATTGTGCTCATGCACAACCTATACTTGGGCCAGGAAGCAGTCCTCAGAACAGAGCAAAGAAACACTGCCTGGTTCAAAATCAAGAAAGGAGTATGTCAGGGATGCATGCTGTCTCCATACCTTTATAACATATATATGGAACAGATCATTCAGGAGGCTGTACTCCATGAGGAGGAATATGGCATCAGGATTGGAGGAAGGCTCATCAACAACCTACATAATGCAGATGACACAACCCTGCTTGCTAAAACTGAGGAGGATCTGAAGTGTTTGCTGCAGAAGGTCAAGGACTGTAGTTTTCAATATGGATTGAAGCTCAACATCAAGAAAACAAAAGATTCTCACTACTAGGCCAGTTGGCAGGACCTTGATAGGTGGAGAAAAGATTGAGATTGTTAACAATTACAGCTTGCTCAGCTCCACAATCAACACTCTTGGCACCAGCAGTCAGGACATCAAAAGACGAATTGCATTAGGATAATCTGCTGTCCTGAACCTCTCCAGAATGCTAAAGAGCAATGATGTCAGTCTAGAGACTAGGGTGCAGCTTGATCCAAGCCATGGTCTTCACAATTACTTGCTATGAATCAGAGCTGGACAGTGCCTAAGGATAATAGAAGAGAAATTGATGCCTTTGAATTGTGGTGTTGGAGAAGAGTACTGAGCATACCATGAACTGCCAAGAGAACAAACCAGTCTGTCCTAGAGAGGGTGAAACCAACCTGCTCCTTGGAGGCGAGGATTTTGAACCTCTGTCTCAATATACTTTGGGCACATGACCAGGAGGGACCATTCCTAGGAGAAGGATAACATGCTTGGAAGGGTGGAGGGTCAGCACGGTAAAAGGAGACCATGGATGAATGTATTGACAGAGTAACTGGCATAATGAGGGTAGGAGTGTTGGAGATAATGAACTTGACCCAGGATAGGGTAGAGTTCAGAGCTATTGTGCACAGGAGCGCTATGAGTTGCAGAAGACTCGATGGCACATAACAATAAAACACCATAATCATGAAGGGGGAATTAAGAACTTGCATGACAACTGTGGAGAGGAAGTGGCAGTGTGATGAGAAGAAGAAAATTGAATTGGGGGATTAGACCTTGTTTTAATTTCTAGTCCCATCTGCTGTGTGCTTTGAGCAAGTCCCATTACATCTCCAAGTCTCTAAGTCTCCATTTCCTCTTTGCCAATAGTGGGTAGAAAAGAAAAGGGAAAAGTAGAAATATTTAAGAAAATTTTGAAGTGTAAGAGACAAAAAGGGCACAGGGGTCTTCTTCCAAATCTCCTTCAACCTGAGGCTTCAGCTCTATTCCCAGATCATCCGACCCAATCACTTATAGCTCTAAAGCAGCTGGAGTAATTAGTTACCTGGAACAGAGCAAACTTGGCTCCTATGTTCTGCTCACCCAAGTGCAGCTTGGCCTGGCGGAAAAGGATGGCCAGGGCCCAGAGAGCCAGCAGGGTGGACACGCCGAGAACAGTGTTGATCCACAGAGCAGTGCTCTCTGCAGAGATCTGGGAGCAGACCAGACAGCAGTCAGGAGCCCTGCCCTACTCACCTGTCCTCTCCTGTGTAGCAGGAAAGCCCAAAGCCTGTCACAGCCTCATCCTTCCCACAAACCCTAACCTCCCCGATTCCACGCCCTCACTCAGTCTCTGGGGCCCTGGGTCGGGAATGTTGGCTGCAGCTCTTCCTTCTAGAGCTTACAGGTAATAAATGAACCCTGGACTCTGGCACCTCTTTTCCTGGCTTAGGGAGCTCTGGTGACCTCCTGAGTGAGGAGCTGTACTGGCAACCCAACCAGGTTGGCAGGTGACTCAAATTCACTAGCTGCTCCTTGGAAGAAAGATGGCCAATCTCCTGTGCCATTTACAGCCTCTGACTCCACTGGAAGGTCAGCTATGAGTTAGTTCTGATTTGATGGCAATAAGATGGAGTTTTGTTTGCTCCCCCGCAAGCTTACATCTGCTGGGTCAAAGATGCCATCAGGAATAAGAAACAGGCCCACCACGATCAGCGTTATCCTGAGGAACGCATACTGGAACGGGCCAAACATTATCAGCTGAAGCTTCCTCCTGTAGGGACAAAGGGTTAGGAGCATGGCCCGCAAACCTCCCACCACAAGCCTCCCAGCTGACAGCTCCTGCTGTCACAGCCCCTAAAACAAGAGCATGGGGAGACAAGAGGAAGGCAGCGTGCTGAATGCACAGAGAACCCCCTCTTTACTTCCCACTCACTCCAAGATGGTATCAATTTTCTCGACTGACTCATTAACTGAAATGGGCAGAAGGGATAAGCCACCGCCCAAAGTCCAGTCAGCTCTGTGTGGCTGAGGTTTGACGGGAGCAGTGAGATGAAGTAGTGCTGTCTTTGGTAGGTGCTGTCAAGTTGAGTACAACTCACATCGGCCCTCTGAACAATAGACCTGAACCCTGTCCTGTCTGTGCCATCCTCATCATCATCTCTGACACACTTGAGCTCATTGCTGCAGTCACTGTCAGTCCATCTCACTGAGGATGTAGAAATTCTTCCTCTGTTCCCCTGTTCCTTTGGGGTTGAGGACCCTGGGTGTGTCCTTTCTCTGGCAGACGCAGAAATTCAGGGGGGTCTTGGCCGTGGGATGTTCACCCCATGGTCATTGTTCTATACAAGCCTAATGCCAAGAGCTCTGAGGCAGAGCGGAGAGACCTCAAGAGATTTAAGGGAGAGTGAGGGAGAAGCGGATCAGTTCCTCAGGGAGCTCCAGTGGCGTCGTGGGAAGGAGTTGCTCAGCCAGCCTAAAGGCAGCAAGCAGGTGTGAATCCAGCAGCCAGCTGCTCCACAGGAGAAAAATGGCCAATCTGCTCCCATGTGTTTTACAGCCTCTGAAAACCCTCTGGAGGGCCAGCTCTGAGTCGGCTCCAACCAGACTGCACATAACAATCATCTGTTCATCAGCAACGCACCCCTGGACCCCCTTACTTGGTGAGGATGAGGGGTGGGCAGCAGAGGCAGCAGCAGCAGCAGGGACCCGTGTGGATCCTCATCGGCGTGTCCCTCAGTGTCTTCAGGACTGCCTCCTTCCCACCAAAGCCCTGCACCATGACCTGCATCAGCAGGTAAAAGCACACCGCATAAAACCTGGGAGTGGGCAGGACAGAGCAAGACAAAATAAGAGCGTACCCAAAGGAGGCGTTTCCCGAACAGAGCTGGTTCAAGACACCCGGAAGTGCACAAACAGGGAAGGGCTAGAGTCCTAAGATGTTCAGACTGAAGGAAGAGAGAGGGTACAGAAGATGACATGGACCATGGAGTCCAGAAGGCGTGCATAGCAGAAGGGGACCCAGGGGGGACACCCAGGCCAGAGCTGGGGGCAGCAGGACACTCACGCGGTGATGGCCATTTCCACGAGCATAAGGGATCGAGGGATCCAGAGACCAAAGCAGCAAAACACAGACACCACCTGTGAGGAGAGGGTGGGAGTCCTTAGGACAGAGAGGAGATTGCGTGCTCTCTTGACCCTTTCATGGCAAAAGGCCAGGGCAGCAAAACCTGAACACTTTAGGTGCCATGACTTAAAGTTATCAGCAGGAAAAATAATGAAATCCATTTCTTTCCAAATGCTTTTAAAATAGCAAGCTGCGCAAGAAGCTGCACTGCAATCCCAGAGACGCATGGTTCAAATCCACCAGATGCTCTGCCGGGAAAGGAGGGGCAATCTCCTCCTGTACCAGTCAGATCTGATCTGACGGTACACAGACACATATACACAAAATAATAAAAATTAAAAAAAAATAATAATAATAAAAAAAAATAGCAAGCTGCCTTAAGTTGGGGTGGGGGGGGTGGCTTTGAAAACAGTTAACATATGTCCTGAGGAAGATGTTTATCCTTAGGAGTAAATGGATTGGGATCCAACCTCTTCTTTCCAGAGTCCCATACTTTTTGAGCATCCTTGATGGATAAAGATCGTCTAGGCAGATGTCTGACAGAAGGGACCTCACAGGCTCCACTCTCCGCCCTAAACACACAGAAGTCCAATCTCATGTCCCAGGATCAAACACAAACACAGACTATATAATGATTGTGGGAGTGAGTTATTAATAGTGTAAGTTGTTAGGTGCCATGGAGTCGAGTACACCTCATAGTGATGCTATGAACAGATCTGAACCCTGTCTTTTTTTTTTACATTTTTTAAAAAATTATTATTAATTTCAGTGAAAATTTACAGAGACTTTGGACTTCCATTCATTCATTATTGTACTTTCTCCCTTCCCAACCCTCCCCCCTAGTACACTACCCTCTTGGAAAAGTAAAAGAAAAATTCTTTCGTTGTTTTGCAATCCCTCCCCCAGGTCTTCTCCACCATGTAGCCTTCGCTCTAGACTCCTGTCATGACAAAAATACCTAATCACATATCCCTTTTAAACAGTTTGCTCCCTCATCTATTTCAAGGCACTATACATTATTGAACCCATCTTTCTCAGTCTCCCCCCAACCCCGAAGTCAGTCCTGTTTTGCAACAGTGGCACCATGCAGTATTTGTCCTTTTGTGACTGAGATACTTCACTCAGCATAATGTCTTCCAGGGTTACTCATTTTGAATAATATTGCATGAGTTCCTTGTTTTTCAATGCCACGTAGTATTCCATTGTGTTAATATACCATAGCTTCTCTATCCATTCATTTGTTGATGGGCACTTAGGTTGTTTCCAAGTCCTTGCTATTGTGAACAAAGCCGTAGTAAACATGGGTGTGCATATATCTGCTTGGATGTCATTTATGGTCTCTTTGGTGTATATTCCCAGTATTGGAATTGCTGGGTCAAATGGTATCTCTATTTGCAACTTTTTGAGAAAGCGCCATACCGCCTTCCACAGTGGTTGCAACATTTTACACTTCCACCAACAGTGAATAAGGGTTCCAGTTTCTCCACAACCTCGCCAGCATTTGTTGCTTGCTGTTCTCTTAAAATTTTGCTATTCTGACTGGGGTGAGATGATATCTCATACTTTTGATTTGCATCTCTCTTAGAGCTAGGGATTTTGAACATTTCTTCATGTGCTTGTTAGCCATCTGAATGTCTTCTTTGGTGAATGGTCTGTTCATATCCTGTGCCCATTTTTCTATTGGATTATTTACCTTTATCTTGTTGTGGTGCTTACACCCTGTCTTGTCCTGTGCCATCCTTACAATCTCTGACACACATGAGACCACTGCTGCAGTCACTGTCAATCCACCTCACTGAAGGTCTTCCTCTCTTTCTCTCACTCTCCACTGTCCATAAGAATAGTCTCTTATAACAACATACCCAAAGTATGTGAGATGAAGCTTCACCGTCCTTGCCACCGAGAAGGAAGAAAAGGGTATCATTTGTTCTTTTGGCTGTCCAGTCATTCAGTACTCTTCTCCAACACCACAACTCAAAGACATCGATTCTTTTATCTTTATTCATTGTCCAGCTCACAGATGTATAGCAAATGATTGGAATATCCATAGCTTGAATCAGGTACTCCTTAGTCTTTAGACTTACATCATATGTCTTTAGGACTTTGGAAAGGTCTCTGACCCCAGACTTTCCTAAAGCTATATATCTCTTGATCGCCTGACTACTGATACCAAGGGTGTTGATTTTGGATTCAAGAAAGATGAAATAATTGACAATTTCAACTTTTTCTCCTATCATGATGTTGCCTATTAGCCAGTGGTGAAACTTTTTGTTTTCTTAATGTTGCGATTGTGCTTATACAAAAGGGAAAAAATCAAGAAATTAAGAAGCTGAACAGAGGCGAGCTCTGGTGGCCTAGTGGCAAGAAGCTGCACTGCAATCCTAGAGGTGCACGGTTCAAATCCACCAGATGCTCTGCTGGAGAAGGAGGAACAATCTCCTCCTGTACCAGTCGGATCTGATCTGACAGTACACACACACACACACACACACACACACACACACACACACACACACAAAGAAGCTGAACAGAGATTTCAAAGGGCAGCTGGAGGAGACAAAGCAAAGTATTATAATGAAATGTGCAAAAAGCTGGAGTCGGAAAATCAAAGGGGCCAAACTTGCTCAGCATTTCTTAAGCTGAAGGAATTGAAAAGAAAAAAAAAAATTCAAGCCACAAGTGGCAATACTTAAGAATGCATTAGGCAGAATAGTAAATGATCCAGGAAGCAGTATACCAATGAAGGAGTTTTACTTTTCAAAGAGAAGAGCGAACTGGGGGGTAGGCGGGGAGAAAAGTGCAACAATGAGTGAATGGAAATCCAAAATCTCTGTAAATGTTCATTAAAATTATTTTTTAAAATTAAATAAAGTAAAATAATAATAAACTGAAAAGAGATGAACAACAACAACAAAAAGATGGAAAGAGTATAGAGAGTCATTGTACCAAAAGGAATTAATTGGTGGACACAGAAGAATTTCATGAAACCATGTATGAGCAAGAGCCTGTGGTGATGAAGGAAGAAGTTCAAGCTGTTCTGAAAGAATTGGGGGGAAAAAAGGCCCCAGGAATTGATGGCATAGCAATTGACATATTTCAACAAACAGATGCTGCCCTGGATGTGCTCACCAAGTTGTGTCAAGAAATCTGGAGGACAAACGCCTGGCCAACTAACTGGAAGAGATCTTTATTTTTTTCCCATTCCAAAGAAAGGTGACCTGGCAGAGTGCAGAAATTATCAAATAATATTAGTATCACATGCAAGCATGATTCTGCTGAAGATTATCCAAAAATGACTGGAGCAGCATGTCTGCAAAGAAATGCCAGATGTGCAGATGGGTTTCGAAGAAGCTGTGGTACTAGGGATATTATAGCTAATGTTAGATGGATCTTGGCTGAAAGCAGGGAATACCGGAGGAATGTCTATCTGTGTTTCATTGACTATGCAAAGGTGTTTGACTGTGTGGATCACAACAAACTGTGGCTGACTCTGAGAAAAATGGGAATCCCAAAACATTTTATTGTGCTTATGAGAAACCTATACTTGGATGAGGAGGCAGCCTTCTGAACAGAGCAAGGAGATGCTTCATGGTTTAAAATCAGAAGGGTGTATGCCAGTGATGTATTCTGTCTCCCTACGTTTTCAATCTATATGCAGAACAGATGATCCAGGAGCCTGGGCTGTAATTAGGAGGAATGTGGCTTCAGGATTGGTGGAAGAGTCATCAACAACCTGTGTTATGCATATAAAACAACCCTACTTGCTGAAACTGAGGAGGACCTGAAGTGCTTGCTGCAGAAGATCAAGGATTACAGCCTTCAACATGGATTGAAGCTCAACATCAAGAAAAAGATTCTCACCACTGGGCCAATTGGCAGCATCAGTATGGATGGTGAAGAGATTGAGATTGTTAACAGTTTTAGTGTGCTTGACTCCATAATCAACACTCTTGGTAACAGCAGCCAAGAAATCAAGAGAGGAATTGCATTGGGAAAGTCAGCTGTCAGGGACCTCTCCAGAGTACTGAAGAGCAATGATATCATTCTGGAGACTAAGGTGCACCCGATCCAGGCCATAGTCTTCACAATTGCTTGCTATGCATCAGAAAGCTGGACAATGACTAAGGATGATAGATAGAGAATTGATGCCTTTGAGCTGTGGTGGTGGAGAAGAGAGTTGAATATATCATGAACTGCTAAGAGAACAGACAAGTTCATCCTGGAAAAGATGAGACCAGGCTGTTTCTTGGAGGCAAGGATTCTGAAGCTTCATCTTACATACTCTGGGCATATTGCAATGAGGAACCAGTCCTTGGAGAGGGATATCATGCTCGGGAGGGTAGAGGAACAGCTCAGGAGAGGAAGACCCTCGATGAGATGGATTGATTCAGTGATTGGGGCCATGGGGGTAGATGTGTCAGAGACAGTAAGTTACACAGGATAGATCAGAGTTTAGGGCTCTTGTACATATGGTCACTATGAGTCGCAAGCGACTTGATGGCCCATAGCAACAACAACAACATACTTGGACTAGGAAGCCATCTTCTCAGAAAAGAGCAAGGGAACATTGCATGATTCAAAATCAGAAAAGGCATCCTGTCTCCATTCCTTTTTAATCTGTATGTGGAACAGATCATTTGAGAAGCAGGGCTTTATGAGAAGGAATGTGGCATCAAAACTGGAGGAAGACTCATCAACAACCTATGATAAGCAGATGACAAAACATTTCTTGCTGAAAGTGAAGAAGACCTAAAGCGCTGTTGCATTTCAAGGACTGTAGTCTTCAATATGGATTGAAGTTCAACATTAAGAAGACAAAGATTCTCACTACTGGGCCAATTAGCAGCACCATGATAGAGAAGAGATTGAGGCTGCTAGCAATTTCAGCTTGTTTGGCTCCACAATCAACACTCTTTTTTTTTTTTTTATTTTAGTTTTATTTTACAGAGACTTTGGATTTCCATTCATTCATTGTTTCACTTTTCTCCCTGGCCACCCCTCCCCCTCAGTACAC